ATTTGGAATAGAGACAACAATAGCGAGGACGAACTCAGCGTGGTGTACAAGAAAACCTATCTCCCCGAACCATCCTGTGAACCAGCGCGACCATCTTCACAAGCGGTTCGAAGTAAAACTCCAGGACAAGCAAAACATAGCCAGAGCGACATAGTGCAAAAGAAGCAAATCTCACTGTCGGACACAGACGAGGATGAACTGTTCGACCAAGCCCTGCTGCGAAAATTCCCAATAGGTGCGCACCTTCCACTTAATAATATACCCTATGACTTACAAAAAGTTAAACGGTCTTTTCGCGCCGAAAACCCACAACATGATATAGCAAATATTAGAACACGAAAACCAATTCGTTGGCTTACGCAACAAGAAAAACAAAGAATAGAAAGAGCCCCCTTGGTGTTTCTAAAAGATCGATTTAAAGGACCCCAGAACACCATAGACCCGGGGTTAGGAAAACGTATTGAACAAGTGGCACGAAAATCGGGCACCATAGCACGTAAAATAAAAAATCCTGGGGTATTCGGGGCACAATTCAAGGTAATCGAAAACGGTTCAATAATTAATTACTCCCCGCACACTGCATGGGTCCGGGAAGACGGAAAACAACCAAGGGTAATAAGACACGACGGTCTAGCGTTTGTACCAGATCCACGGGTGTACGGTAAATGTAGACCGGCACAGCTAAAGGACTTCATAGCATACAAACATTTACCAAGAGCAAAATCCCGTATTTTAGACAAAGAGGCTAAACAAAGTGAACCAACTGGCTCAAAGATCCCAAAAAAAAATCAGTGGAACCGGGGAATCCGGCGGGTAACACCTCAACACCAACGAGCCCAAAACGAAAACCGCCCAAGAATGTCGAGGAACTTATTCGACAAACAACTAACAGGAGGAAGCTAGGACACGACCGGATTCATAGAACAATCCCAACAACATCAAAAGCCCCGACGGTAAAAAACCAACCAACTACTACGAAAAATCTCAAGTCGCCAAGCCGAAAAGGAAAAGGCAGCCCCAATAAAGTACGCAAGGAAAACAAGGACATAGAATTTGACTGTGACACATCAATTTCTATTTCATCGGACGACTCAATAATTCAAGACATGAGACAATCACCAAAAATGCCCCCAGCCAAAAAGCTGGACCGAAAAATTACGCCGCCACAAGATACAAATAACAGTACCAAACCACAAGCAGCAATTCCAAGCCGTAGAACCACAAGGACCAAAACAAGCGCCCTTGCCCTCAAATTCGGAAATGCAATTCCGATTAACAAAATCACCGGAAGCACTTCAGATAACGAAGTATGTCTCATAACAGTACAACAGGATAAAAGGGAACCAACTGGCCAAGCAGGCACTATCCAAGAGTCCTCAACCGATATAGAATGTATCGAAATTGACTCAACTGACAAAACACCGTGCCAATCAACTGACAAAACACCAGAGCAGCTAAGGGTTAGAGAAACCAGTGGAGGAACAGGCGGCCCAATTGAAGATGTATCCGAGCCTAGAGATACACTACACACACCAACAAAAATATCCACACACACGTCGTCACCACAGAGTAGCCCGAGAACAAAATTCGCGTCAGATTTAAATACGTCAGCTCAACGCAGTGCTCCAAATAGTCCCCTACAACGAGCAATTAGCTCACGTTACGTCATCGACAGACCAACCGGAACGTCATGCTCACCAGACAAATCCTTCATTGACAGCTTTAACGACGCAATGAAAATTCTTAAATCCATCTCTCCACCCAAAAACTCGATGACTTTCCAAAGGGAATATGAAGTACAAGAACGCTCTAAACGTCTCAGTAAACAAGCGAAGGATGAGAAAAACAACGAACCGATCACCAAACAGATACCGCAGACATCATCGGAAATGAACGCCCAACAGATATCGCAGATATCATCGGATACAAACGCCCCCAAATCTTCCATTCCACCAAACAAGGACGCTACTGAAGACACAGAGGATATATGATGTGTTCATCATATATAAGAAATAGGGGGAATGTTATCCATACGGATATATTAGATACCGATTAGAACTGTTATCCATACGGATATACTAGAACTCCGTCTACCTAAAACAATACATAGTTTGTTCTCATCCTAAATGCTAACCATATATACTTATGTAACATTATGTAAACTTAACCATATAGAAGTCTGATCTAAATTAAGTACCTATTAAACCTAACACCATATTCAATAGTTATTTATGAGTCTCTGTCTCTCTCATGATTTCGAGGTCAGATTCGAATCAGACTTAACTTTATCAACTGAAATTAAGTTGCTCTCTAACTCTTCGTATTTCTATTCTCAGTTAGCGATTAAGCATAGACTTTGACTACATAGATTACATAGCTTATACCTCACCAAACTTAAACCTAATGAAAGAAGTCCAGAAGTGAAACATCTTGAATGAGTTGTAAGTCGCCTGTAAATGGAAATGATGACCAATTGGTGGAACAGAACTTGAAGCTAGGAAGGTTGATGATTTATTATCGGAAGTTCCGCTATGTCTAATGAATTCTCATCGACAAATAAGTAGCTCTCCTTTTCCAGATGCACTTCAGCCTGATTTACCTTCTGATCTTTCCTTCTGTTCTACATTATCCAACTTCATTGTGTAAGAAAATCTGAGTTTAAAAAGCGTAGGAAAATTACTCTTCAGTGGGTCATCCTGCGGACAAAACAACGTAGAAATTTTGATTCGTTCGTTTGTTAACCATTGTAAAATTTCCGACACGGCAAGAAATGATCTTGATTTGCCTCTCAACATGATTCTGCTACAACCAACTACAATGCTATTGTCCTCTGAACTCCTGAAACGATCGCAGAAGCGACTGGATGACCTAACATCGGGTTCGGAGGTCAACGAAAATTGCGAAAACACATGAATTTTTAAGTAGTCAAATTTTGAAGGAAATAGTCGGGAGATACGCCAACAGACCTGAGACTGATAAAAGCAATTTTCCCACTTCCAAGCTTTCAAAAACGGTAAACACGAAAAAGCTCTGTTTAGATCTGATTGTTTCTTCTGATGAATTCAAGTCCTGGTCATCAAATGTACCCGATATGGCTAGGGATATCGCAACTTCCCCCAAAATTAAGAATGGCAAAAACAGCGCTTGCTAGTTTTTTCATCGGAAAAGGAAAATCATGTTGGTACTTGATTATGTAGGTTGAAATCGGAACTTGAGCGTTATTTTGCTATTACACTTCCGGATGGCTCATGTTGTGCTCTGAAACTGAAGTTTGCGTTCGCTGCGGATTGCTTAGCGTTGCGAAGAGTAAGGAATGTAGTTGGCGTAAAATGCAAAAGTTCTTTCGCCAGCATCATAAATGGACTATCGCTTACTCTAATACAAGATTATATCGGCGTTTATCTGGATTTACTGAATCTTCAAATTAGAAATATCTGTGCTGATAGGCAATTCGAAAATTTCGAAGAAAAGAAAATAGCCTGAACGCTCTTTGAATTTGTAGAACAATTTACGATTGACCATTTTTGGATAAAATAACCCAATTTGAGACAACTGCATCAATGGTTAAAATTCTTATTTCGCTAGAAAATCTGAAAACTTAATTCCACTTTCGAAAAATTAAGTCCATCACTTTCTTCTTGATCTTCACACTTTCCCTGCTCGAAAGTGGAGTTTGTCTTCCTTCAAACAAATGAAATGAACTGAACTTAAGAAGAAACCAAAAATCAAACCGCGAAAATATACATTTGAGCCGAGCCTGAAAAAATTTTGTCCTGAAAAAAATCATCAGCACCCGTACAAGAGTCTGAACTACGCTCATCGACTCTTAAGAATAGCTAACTTGTGAGTGGTTTAAATGCACCCAGGTAAATGATTGCCTATTCACGACGAATTCGCAAACTTGAATAAGTAGTTCAAATCAAAGCCATCATAGCTGGTTGCTCTATATAGAGCATGTGGCAATGAAAGGAAGACTTGATGATTGATTATACGCTCATTTTAATCTCTACCTTAATTTGTCTTCAAGGTTAGACTTCCTTTCGAAACCGGCGATCCCGAAATTTAATTATCGCAGTGTATAGAAACCTTTTGCTCCAAAATTGTGGATGTCTTCGAGGGAAACCGAAACACTGAAACAAAATAAGTACACTTTGGAGTCATTAACCTTTTCAAAAACTCAAATTCGGACCTCTTCTTCCATTCTCAGCCAGAGATTCGGGGTCAGCGAACAAAATTCTAGGCAACGCGGAAACAGGATCGGTTTCTGAATGCGATATAGTTTGCAAGCTTTTTTTTCGCTATGACTGAACTTGAGGTGAGAAACTTCAAATAACGATAAAGCAAGAGCCCTGCATATTGATTGGCTGACCTATGGTGAACCTACTTCTTCTGCAACACTCCGTCAGAATATTGCAATATTGCGATGGACGCAACGAAACAATCACAAAAACTCTATCCCGAATCAAAACACGTTCAATCGCTAGTTTCTAGGCGGAGCTTATTACGTTTCACCATCCTATACATCAACCAGAGCTGGTAATAGCACAACTTGGAGGGAAAAACTATGTGCAACGAATGCAAGATTTAAAAGCGCTGAGTTTTAGCAGCGATTTTCAGCATTATTTCAGAGATACTATGCCGCTGATTCATCTTAGATCCAGCGCCACTTTAGAACCGTAACAGCACTGAAATACCACTGATTCATCTATCTTTAGCGTGAATACAGTGTTATTACATCGCTAATTCGCCGATCTTCAGCTTTATCTTAGTGTTATTACATCGATGATTCACCTCTAATTTTAAGGGTATTTGCAGCACTGGTCAGGTTAAGGTGGCACTTATTAGAGCCTAATTCATCCATGCCACTATATGCATTAACACTGATTGAGCGCTGAATTTCCAGTTCAACCCGCGGGAGATTCGCTACTAGGTTCCAAATCCAGATGATAGTTTAAAAGCGCCCAGCATTTTCGTAGAACACAGCCCCCAAAATCCCATTTTACAATTTGTACCAATTTTGCTAAGTTTCAATTCTTCAATGTCACCTTTTCAATTTCTTGCATTTGAGCAATTGATTATCTAAGCAGTAAACGATACAAAGAATAGAGCGAAGTAATGCGATATGACGTAATCATCATCACTACCATCAGTAACTGACACCGAATTCGCGCGTTACAATATGCTGGATGAATTTCCGGTTAAAGACGAACACAACCGTCGTAGCTACTCCAACACTAGCTGCTTGAGAGAGGTAGGCTGCCATGGGTCCATAGTGGTCGAACAGTTGGGTCACTAGAAGGGGTCCCAGAGCACGTGCCAGAGATCCGGCAGCTGTGAGGATTCCTTGCAGAAATCCCTGTAAATAATCGCATTCTGATTTAATTTTGTAGATTACAATAAATGGCCTCTAAAACAGGATTTCAGCATCGGCCATGAATGCATCTTGATAGTAATAGGCGCATATCAATGCAAAGTAATGAGTTTTTGTGCCTCGCACTTACGAAAGAGTTCAATTGTGAGTGGGTTTTTTTAAATACAATTCAGACAATTTAATACACCTCAAAGGGAAGCAGTATGAAAGCAATATCCAAGCAAAAAAAATACAGTCACTACTACTTTTTTTTGCAGTGATGACAGTGACCTGAACTTTCTGCACTACCTTCACAGCAGCAAGTCGCTCTAATTATCGATAACATAAGCGATCCTGAAAATTTTGTTTAATTATTGCATTCAGTGGTACTTGATGTCAGGCAAATAAGTCGAGTTTCCTCAAGTATAATTTTGACCATTTCGGCTATTAAGCATCTATACTTTTTCTAAAGGAAAGCAAAACAGTATTCAAGGGCTTTCAGTACTATTTTGGATCAAATCTTGAGCACGCTCCCTGTATTTTTCGCATTTCCCAAACTCAAAAAGACCTCTAAAACCTTCTTAAAGAAATCACGCATAAAAACCCTAACGAAAATCAATTTCAATATAAAAGAACATAGGCGCTACGCGCAATACACCGAAGGCATAAAAACTGAAGCAAAAACCAAACAACTTGAACAACTAATAATTGAAGAATAACAGTTCTAGAACAAAAAATCGTACTAATACATGTATACACCAAAATTTTGCTATATCGAGAAAGAGCCTGAAATAACAGTTCTAGAACTAAAAATCGTACTAACACATGTATAGGTTAAATTTTTGATATATCAACGACGATCATAAAATAACACTTCTAGAACTAAAAATCGTACTAACACATTTATACACCAAAATTTTACTATATTGACAAAGAGCCTGAAATAACAGTTCGTGAGCTAAAAATCGTACGAACACATGTATACACCAAAATTTTGCTATATTGGCAAAGATCATGAAATAACAGTTCGAGAGCTAAAAATCGTACTAACACATGTATACGTCAAATTTTTGCTATATTGACAAAGATCATGGAATAACAGTTCTAGAGCTAAAAATCGTACTAACACATGTATACACCAAAATTTTGCTATATTGACAAAGATCATGGAATAACAGTTCGAGAACTAAAAATGGTACTAACACATGTATACAATAAAATTTTGATATATTGACAAAGATCATGAAATAACAGTTCGAGAACTAAAAATCGTAATAACACATGTATACACTAAAATTTTGATATATTGACATAGATCATAAAATAACAGTTCGAGAACTAAAAATGGTACTAACACATGTATACGCTAAATTATTGCTATATTGACGAAGAGCCTGAAATAACAATTCTAGAGCTAAAATCGTACTAACACATGTATACACCAATATTTTGCTATATCGACAAAGAGCCTGAATAAACGTTGTAGAACTAAAAATCTTACTAACACATATATACACCAAAATTTTGCTATATTGACAAAGAGCCTGAAATATTGACAAAGGACCTGAAATAACAATCGTAGAACTAAATGTCGTACTTACGCATTGTAGATCAATTTCTATAGCTATAATAAAATACAAAAGATTGTGTTTGTATGTGTAGCAAAACGCCTCCTGTCGTTTCAATCGGCCAATCGTATAAATTGGCATGTAGACTCATATGGGTCTCCGGAATAACTAAAAATCGTACTTACACATATACTTACAAGAAAGAGCTAAAATGAAAAAAAGCTATTAGTCTTATTATATTGAGAAATTGTGAAGCAGTCTCAGAATTGACAGTATGTAGCAGTAAAACAATCCAAAAAACAAATCCAAAAAACAAAAAAAATACTTGCAAAGACATGACACAGATCTGAAAAATGTACCAATGTTGGTATTCATGAACAAAACTTCAATCAGGTAAAGATATCAGTTAAGTATTCCACGAAATCAAGTTCAAATTCAACCTTCAAAAACCGGCAAGTAATAGAAATGACATAAAACTTCAACGTTCAGCGTCAAACTGATTACGGAACGTCAAATTTAAACGGACGCCATTCCATTTCTCAAACGATCCATCGGGTGCAGTGGATCCTCTCAAGATGCTGTGCTTCCAGTCTTTCTGGCAAGCTCCGAGCATGGTAAAAACGCTACCATGTGGCAACAAAACAGAAACTTCAGAGCGCGTGGTCCCGTTTCTTTTCATTGCAAAGCGTCGGGTGGCTCCAAGGGATACGCTGGCAATGGTTGGATAATCAGGAATACCACGTTCGTTGTCAGCGTGAAATCCAACTCCCTGAAAATACTGATAGGCAAAGTACATTTTCTATGTTATCTAATTGTTATGACGGTATTTTGTGATATTACCTCTTCGAGGGAACAATAAATGTTGATGAGGACACTGTTGAAGGAAACTTTGAGTTCTTTCTCCAACAAGGTCTTTAACAAGAACAACTGTGGTGACCAAGAGTTGTTGGGCGGGTGGCGAACGCTTCCATATGAGTATGGAACCTCCGAAATCCACTTGACAGAGCGCCCGTTGACATGTGTCCAAGATTCCTGTTTGTATGATTTGTAAAGCTCTGCAAAGAGGGAATCAGCTATGCTCAAAACAGATTTATTGCAAACGTCAAGGGAAATTTGAGAGACGCCAAACACTGAAGATGAGCTGATAGTAAACAGCTGCAAAAATAAAATTATGACATTTAAGTGCTCAGTGGAATACAACAGAAAAAAAAATAGAATAGACAAAAAGTATTTACCACGGCAGATGTCAAAAGAGTTAAGGATACTCTCACAAATTAATTTCGCCAAATTCAGGCAGCCCATTTGCGACAAATGAACACCATCGGTAGATAAATGTGTGTAGCGCAATAGTCCAACGGGAATAAATGACCAATCTGAAGACTTGATGGCTGTATCCAACGCGCGGATTTCACGGTAAAAGTCCTTGCGAACAATTGGACTAAAAATACAATGTAGTTTATTTTTTCTCTAAACTTCATTAAAAAAACAGCAAAACCGATACCTGATGAACAATGTACATTATTATTATTACTGAATTAGTCATTTTATGAAAAAGTTACCAAAGGAGCAGGACTTCAAAGCCAGCATCGCGAAGAGGAGAAGCAAGTGACATAATCAACATAGCAAGTGTGGCCTTTGCCAAGCTCGCGAGAGAAGCATCGGTATGGGCAATGCTTGGTTGTAACACAATATCTTGTTGGCGGGGACACATGTCGTTTGCACCAACAGCAAGAATAACGCGAGCTGGTTTCGAGGCTTTTATCTCTTCGACATGAGTGTCATTGATGGTACTGACTTTCAGTCCAGATTTCACTATAACCGACGTATGGGAAAGTCTGATAAGGTATTCGTTAAATCCTTTTAACATAGAATCGCCAAACAAAACAGTGGACGTCATTTCTGAAAAAAAATTATATCACCATCATTGTGTTATAGAAACCATTACAATAAATTTGAACTACGGAAAAAAGTACATTGCAAAAATATATTTGTGAAAAACAATATAAATAATAACATCGCTCTGCTCAGACGTGTGCTATGATAACGAACATTCGCTCAGAAATAAATGCAACAATATTACAGTAATTAAAAATTTGTCAGCGTTTATAAATTATTCAGTCTTGTTAAAAATTAATAAAAAAGGGCGCTTAACACGTACTTGGCTTTGACAGAATGGTTTGCCAACATTATAATAACAAAAAAAGGCGAATATTTCTCAATAGTCAGTATTGAACGCACGTAAAACATTAATAACAATCAGATTACAACAACAGCTTCATGAACCTTCATATGCGCAGTTGGAATGTTCCCTTGTAAATTATAGATGTTTCCAGAAGAATGATTCACTTTTGTTCTCTTACGATATATTGTTGGCGAATGCATTTTGAAACAAGGGAATATCACAAATAAATATGTCTTGTAAAGATAATGTTACATCAACAGTCATGAAAGTTATACATAGTGAGCCAAAATTCGTAACCAGTTATGCATTTCCGTTGTTGTCATCATCGCAGAGCACGAGTTAAAAATAAATATACACACAGATTAGTTAAACTAAAGAAATTGTGTACCTAATACAAGTATACACAGACCAGTTGATTGAAACTACAGTGTACCTAATACAAGTATACACAGCAGTTGAAATAGAAAAACTGTGTATCTAATACAAGTATACACAGATCAGTTGAATGAAACTACAGTGTACCTAATACAAGTATACACAGCAGTTGAAATAGAAAAACTGTACCTAATACAAGTATACACAGACCAGTTGATTGAAACTACAGTGTACCTAATACAAGTATACACAGATCAATTGAACTAAATAAATTGTGTACCTAATACAAGTATACACAGACCAGCAGTTGATTGAAACTACAGTGTACCTAATACAAGTATACACAGACCAATTGATTGAAACTACAGTGTACCTAATACAAGTATACACAGCAGCTGAAATAGAAAAACTGGAAGTAGACGCATTGATGAAAAAGTTTTCTGTGGACAGCATTTGACAAAATATCTCTTTCACAGTTGAAATTAACACGCCACCATGGTCAAATTCAGTAAGTCTACTGAGCCGATCTCTGATGCAAGCGCTTGACAACAAAAGCTGAAGAACAGAATTGAGATAGCAACTGTTGTCATCATTTGCAATGCCCGTGGGTCGAAATGGCTCCATTACATGACTGAAAATAGAAGTAACATAAAATTTAACATTTTGCTTTACGTTATTGAGTCCACGCTCCAACAAAATCTTTTTTGAGAAATACAAAAGCAAATTTGAAAATTAATTACCGGACAGATATAACTATAGATAAATCTTTAAAATAAATAATTTAAAATCATTTTTGATGTAGCTGCAACCCAAAAGCAAGTGGACAAATCTCGTTGGCAGCGTTCCCTGTAAATCGTTGTACGCTAATTGGTGATATACAGATCTTTCTGAAAATATCCTAAGCAGAACAATAAATTGAAAATCATTTTTTGCTTTTAACTACATAGCTAAGAAGTAAAACATCAAATTTCACAATCAAACAACAAAGACGCTAACTAAATAAATAAATAAATGAACGAACAAACCAACAAATGAACGAACAAACCAAAAATAAATAAACATAAATAAATAAATGAATAAATAAATACATACATGAATAATAAATAAAAGCAAAACTAAATGAAAGAAAATAATTAAATAAATATAGCAATAAATATCAACGAATAAACAAAACACACCTGATAAATAAATAAACAATAAAAAAATAAATCAATACATAAATAAATAAATACATACATAAATAAATAAATAAATAAATAAATAAACGCAAAACTGAAATGTACAAATAATTAAATTAACATGAAAAAATATATATATCTCATGAACAAATAACCAAACAAACAGACCCATAATATAAATAAATGAAAGTAAATGAATTAAATAAATACACATACATAAATAATAAAAGCAAAACTAAATGAAAGAAAGAATAATTAAATAAATATAGAAATAAATATCAACAAATAAACAAAACACACCTGATAAATAAATAAGCAACAAAAAAATAAATCAATACATACATAAATAAATAAATACATAAATAAATACATAAATAAATAAATAAATAAATAAATAAAAGCAAAAGTGAAATGTACAAATAATTAAATAGACATGAAAAAATATATATGAACAAATAACCAAACAAACAGACCCATAATATAAATAAATGAAAATAAATAAATTGATTAAATACACACGCAGAAATAATAAAAGCAAAACTAAATGAAAGAAAGAATAATTAAATAAATAAACAAAACACGTGATAAAAATAAACAAAAATAAATATGTACATACATAAATTATAAATAAATATAAGCAAACTAAACATAATTAAATAAATAGAAGAACAGATAATTAAATAAATAAAGATGAACAAATAAAGAAACAAACATACGCAATCACGTGACATAGCGCGATATAGTCCAGCCCACATGATAATTGATAACTGTGGACGTTATTTGTCGACACTTGACAACAGACAACATTAAAAAAAACCGTTACACGATACCATAACACCTTGACTAAAGTCTTCGGTGTAAACATGTTTGGAGGGGATTCAATCTAAAAAAAAACCTTTTTTTGCGTATTTTGCTTGGTTTCGGTAAAGGGGCGTTACAGTTTTTTAGAAAATATTTTTGAATAAATTTTTTTTTGCTATTGGTCCTCGATACTTGATATATACAGCGCAGAGGCATCGTGCTCAGTGCTTTTGATGTTTTAGCTGCTTTACTGGTCGCCTCTGTTCAATATACAGCTTAAATTTTTCTCTTGGTTTTACAATTTTTTTTGTTTGATTTAAGGGTGCTTAGTTGCGTGTATTGGATATCAAATTTATTTGCTATCAATTTGGCAAATACAGTTTTTGCCATTGGAGAACATAGCCAATCGAAGATTGGAAAATAGTAATAAACGCAAGTAAACATAAAAAAACACTGACTTTGTTGGAAAAATCTCAACTATCGAAGAATTTCAAAGAAAAAAAAATAGATGCCCTTTAATCTCTTTGAATTTCTAGAACAATTTATGATTGGCGCTTTTTTGATAACATGAATCCAACTTCAGAAAACTGGATCAACAGGTAAAGTTTTTATTCCGCTTGAAATCTAAAAAATAAATTCCACTTTCAAAACTAAAATCGTTCACGTTTTTTGCGCCATTTCCCCGGTCGTATTTGGAGAGTACTATTTACGTCACTTTCAGCAGATGAAATTCAATTGAATTCAAAAAGTTCATCAATCATATATACCTAAGTGCATCAATATTTTGAGACTTTACTAAAAAAAAATCAGCAAGGCTTATATAAGAGTCTTCACTGCGTTCATTACTCTTAAGAAACAGATGCCCTAAAGCTCTTTGAATTTCTGGAACAATTCATGTTTGGCATTTTTTTGATAAAAATAATGCAATTTGAGAAAACTGGATCAATAAGTAAAATTTTCAACTCGCCAAGAAACCTGAAAATTAAATTCCATTTTCGAAAGTCGATCACGTTTTTCATGACTTTTACAATTTTGCTGTTCGATAGTGGAGTTTGTCTTCCTTTTAACCAAGAAAAGGATTTGAACTTAAAAAGAAATCAAAAATCAAATAGCGAAATATTAATATTTAGCGTGAACAAGCTTAGAGATTTTTTCCTGAAAAAAACCATCGCGACCTTTATAAAATCTAAATTACGTTAATCCACTTTTAAAAAGCAGACCTAAAATACGAAGTGCAATTCAGTTATTGAAAATCTGCATTCTTCAAAAAATACAGACCTGCCCTAGCTGTTCAACTTCACAAATCGGCACAAGCATACGCTCAACTTTTAGCAAAGCAAATATTATCTAGCAGTTTTTATTAAATATCATGAGTCAATGAAAGTATTTCAATTTAAGCTATACTTTTCCTTTCCAAGTTCCGCTAAAAAAAATTTCGCAGATTTTCAAGCCCAACATTCAAGCTCTCTTCGAAAATGGCGAATTTTTATTGAAGACAAAATACCAATCAAATTATTGCCAGGTTTATTCGCTACGAGTTCGATTAGCCCGAGCGACCAAGGTTGTCAAAATGCTATCCTGGAGCGAGTTTCTTTTTAATTACATTGAATACAAAATTTGAGCTCTGCTTGAACATTTAATGGAACAAAAAAAGCAGTTTTGTCCTAAACTAAAATTTCGCCATTTTGGAAGTAGAAAATCTATTCGATTTCAGAAGTTTTTTATCTAAATGACATTGAAACAAGTTTTGAAAACATTTTAAATTTTATTATTAAACCAAATTAATTACTTGTGGAAAAGGTCCGACAATCTTTGAGAATATCGTTGCCACAAGCACAGTGGCTACGGCGTATCCCATGCAATTTATAACAGCTGATATGACGAACTGGTACAAGTAGATCTCGTGTACTTCCTCACACCAGTCGTACTTCGTGGAGTCACAACCCTTTCTGTCTTTCGGAGCAAGGGTTGAACTCGTGTTTTCTAGAAACAAATTTAATCAGTTTCAAAACACCCAAATATCTACTGCCAGAAAAATTCAAAGCATCTTGCGGTTGTAAACTACAATTGATACTTATGAGTTTGCATTTTTGAAGTTAAAGAACCAAACGTCGGTCCAAGTTTTTAAAATCTGGATGTTTTCTAAAACCATAAAGTTTTCTTTAAAAATTAAAGCGTAGCCGCTTTAGCAGGCAAGAATCCCTATCATCTTCTTTCAATTGAAACATTAAACTCTTATCACTATCATGTATGCTTTGCTCCTAGATCAGAAATCTCCTCTCTAACTACTTCGATGAAGCTTTTTCTTTTGACGGCAAGGATACCTAGAGTCGAGTTTAAAGGTGGGCGACCAAGAACCAAGGATGTTGCTAATGCTATACACTCACCTAAGAACTAACATGTAGCTGAGCCCAAAATACCCATCGTTGCTCAAGCTTATCGACAAGTATAGTTCATTTAGCCCTATTTTACCCACTTTTGGTTTCCTAATTTTTAACTCTGACCAAAACTGCGATAACTTTGATCACATCTCCGAGAATTGAATTTCCCAACTTATGAGTTCGAAAGTATGGACTACGCGCTCGGCTAAATTCTATTTAACTTTCAATTGCTTAAATTTTGAAATTTTGTCACTGACTGTTTCACAGCCAACAGACAATTGAAAAGAGTCAATGGACGCATACAAACAGAAAAAAAACAGACGTTTTTTGAAGACAAAAACTTCAGCATACGAATTTCACAGAAAACAAAGATTTCCTTTTTGGAGAGAACAATTTGCCTACATTTTAGAAAAGAAATGAATTGAACTCACAAAGTTCACATATACCTATATTCATAAATACATTATTATGCATGAATGCATGTATGAATGCACTACTGTAGTTATCGGAGCATTTCAAAAAAAATCACCAAGACCCAAACAAGAGTCTTCACTAAGTTCATTGATTCAAGAGTCTTTACAACATTGAGATAAAAACTTAAAATTTGTCAACACTTTTTCGAATTTTGCGTTGGCGGTTTTTTAAAACAAATTCTTTTTTGAAAAGTTTCTATTTAAGTATATTGTGTCACACTTGCTATAAAACTTTTCGTGTACTTACCGTCTGGGTAGTAAACCTTAGGATGGTCTGAGCTGTAAGGCATGACTGCTACAAATGAAAGCATGAGAAGCACCATGGCGCAAAATAGAACATGTCTCTCTTTAAACCTGAAACAGAATAGTTTGAATTGTTAGAAATGTTAGGGTGATCGAACTTTCATAGATTAAAAAAAACCTTGCAGGAACATATATATATATATATTACTGTTGCATTGAAAGTTGTGAAAAACATATGTTCAAAACAATTTTCTGTCGCCAAAAACATTCTTAGGTCCTATGACTGGATCTCCTTAACAATCTCGGCTTCCTATGGTATCGACTGAATCACTACCTCCAAATAAAACATAGCCAACGGAATATTGGAAAAGAAGAACATGGAAGCCGAAAAATAAATTGAGTGAAAATTATTGAACGGTATTGAAGAAAAAAAATTATCACAGTTCATGACAGGCACTTTTTTCTGGAATTAACCTAATTTAAGAAAACTCGATTAAGGGATAAACCTTTTAATCCGATGAGAAATTTTAAACTTAAAATCCACTTTCGAAAATAGAAATTGGTTACACTTTTTTGCTTTTGCAATTGGAGAGCGCAACTTGCCTATATTTTAGCAAATGACCTTGAATTGAATTGAAAAGTGCATTGATACTTACGTGCACTCATAATTGCATTAATATGTATAATATTATCTTGATAATATGATATTATCTGTATGATGTATTACATACATATATTATTCTTTATGATATTATCCTTTATTTAGTTATTAGAGCATTCAGACTTTTTCATGAAAAGGAAAAACAACAAGACCCATATCAGTGAAAATCACTTCGTTCTTTTAGAAATAAACAGTAAATTGGCACTAAACTGGAGTAAATTAGCACTGTTTTTCAATGAGAACTCTAGTTTATGCTACTTTATGATTGGTCAAAATCCCACTGAAATTGACTGAACAATCTACCACCTTTCTGGTACGCGGGGAGATTGTTAAGTAAATTCTTATGAGGCACTGAACATAACTCTGATTACGCCTAGCTGCTCTACAAAAAAAAGCATTGCAAACAGACATTTGGAAAAGTGCCAATGAACAAGGAACCGAATAATAAAATAGAACGAATAATAATTTTGACTTCAGAAAAAATATAACTTTACTGTTCTTTGAGTTTGATGTTCTGTTATCATTGATATTTTTCCATGAAAAGTCACAAAATTAGAAAAAACTGGATCTCTAGAACATGGCTAACTGCAGGTTTCAACACATGGCTAACTGCAGGCGCAGCTATCAAGTGCAATAAAAAAATTAGAAACAAGCCTCGAATAAGAAAAATTTGGCTAGGTCTGATATTCGAACCTCCGATCTATATATTACGAGCCTCACACACTAACCACTCAGCCACGGAAGCTAAATAGGCACCAAACACTAGCCACAAATAATGCAGAGAACAGAAGCTATGCAATTTGCAATGCTAAGTGAAACTTCCAAATAAGTGAACACTTTTATTTGCGAGTTAGGTTAGAAAAAATAGGCGGTTCGTAATAAAACACTAAGCTGATCGCAAAAGAAAGGAAGCCAAAGAAAACGAAAAAAATATATATTACTGTGATTATTTGAACTACTAGGAAAAAAGAAAATTTGGAAATCAGAAACTCGTTTTCATCATATTGAGGTGGTAACTTCCACTCAAAAAGACGACCAATTGTTGAGAAAACAGTATTCAAGTGAGTCTCTTATGTAGCCCAACAAAGTTTAAGAAAGGCAATCTCTAAATTTGGTATAACTAAAAACGTTTTGGTTTGATAGCCAGAAAATTCAGTTTTAATACATGAAAATCTTATTTTCTGATTAAAAAACTCCTTTTGAATATAGTTTCCTCAAATTTTTTTTGGGTTCATGGGAAACTCACTTTGATATATTTTGCTCTGTAATTGACCCATCAGTTTTTTTGTTATTTTGATTGACTACAAGGAGTCAAAATTAACCCTCTTTTCGGTTTAGAATTTGGGTCCGAATTTCGAAAAAATAAATTTCCACATACTAATTCTGGTGAATATATTAGACACCTTAAAACACTCTAAAACTCCTCCATTGCATAATTTAAATCAGCACTGTAGGTATCTTTTTTTCGCTGCAAAAACTAAATACTAATATCCATCACATTTTTTCCCGCCATTTGAATAAGCGTTACCCGGGAGCTTAATTTGACTTAAATGTAGCAACTAAATATGAATTGAACTTAAATCTTAAAATGAAATCTAACACGAACCTAGCAGTGATGACCTTGACGGCAATCATAGAGAGGATGGTGACTATGCTGCAGCCTCCGAGCAGAATGCTGGCTGCAAGTGTGGACTTCTCAGCAGTCCACGCACACATCACTTCCAGAATTGGAGTCACCAGACTGCAAAAAGAAACATGTTAGACCGTTGTTGATGTATAATAGTTTAATTTATTGTTTACGAAGATAGTTGAGTGGAAGAAATTCGTTTTTGTTTAATTTTTATTTTGTTCTTTTTCTTCTCAATACTTGATTTGCTCAGCACAATGACAGAGACAAATTTGTGGTTGAAAAGAAGCCAAGCCAAGTATTTTGCTCCATTTGAAACGAAGTCAGAAGCAAAAAAGAAGAGTTCACGTGGTTCACTGAAACTTAATCACTGAATCATTGATTAGGACTTAAGCATCAACGTTTAGAAAAAAAGAATGAAAATATCCAGCGAAATCATCTGTCCGAAAAAAAACGCCCATTAAAATAAATGGTTCACCTACGTTTCGTAGAATGAAAACGTCGTCAGCACCACAACCCATAGATAAACAGACAAAACCAAAGCGAAGTTATCTCTATCGTTGTCACGACTCACAGTCACGAGTCTGACTCGGTCACTCGTCAAATTCTCCCGCGCCAATTCCCGCTCACTGACAGAATCTACATCTACAAGATTGCTTCTAATATTATCTCCGTTAATTCTCGCATAGCTGTTCACTACAAGCGATCTACTAGTGTTCTCGTCACTCAAATAGACGTTATTGTTGCCGGAAACTGATGACACTTGTTGCTGAGTGTCGGATATAGTCATACTGTCTCGATTATGATTGGCTGGCGTGTATTCGTGTATTGTAATTGTTCGAGGTCTTCTTCTGTATATGCCACGTGAAGAGACAGTGGTAGCGTCTAAAAAAAAGAAAACGTGATAACTTATCCTATTAAATCATAAGCAAACTTAACCCTAGACACTTGCAAAACCAAGAATAACCTATGATCTTTAGTTTTTGGATGCTCTTATAAATTATATCTGAACTGAATTTTTTCTGGAGAAAAAAATGTACTTGTTTCCGCATTCGAAAAAATTAGCATTTGACCCATAAGTTAACAAATTTTAAAAATTCAAAAGTATACGATTTTTTTTTAGAATTTCCAAGAAAGTTTTTACACAGAGGTGAAGCGGATCTTCGCATCACTTGCGATACAACACAAACATAAAAAACATAAGACGAAAAATTGAAATGTTTAAAAGTGTTTGACAGTGTAGTTTCCGAGAAAACGAAAAAAAATGAAAAAATATGGGTCACATATTCCCCCACAGACCTTTTCGAAAGCTGTAGATAGAGGGGCTAAGTGAAAAGAGACTATAGATGATGCAGCACACAAGGCAGTAGGCGGTCTGAGAGACACTAAAATTTTCCAATATATTTCAAATAATTTTCCATAACGAAAAAAAAAATTTTTCAACAAACCGATTGGTAAACAAACAACCAACAAGTGAGGAGGGGAGTGTAAAAAATGTGTTTTCCTTGAAACAACTCAAAATTGGGTAATTAAGCTGATAAAATTAGGTCGAAATAGTTTGGGCCGACGAATTTTTTTTGCGAAAAAAAAAAGAAATATACGTCAAGATTAGTAAATTACACATTGCAGGAGTACATGAAAAATTAAAAAACAACTAAAATGAAACTGCATTCAGCAAAAAAATTCGAAGATGTGGCATCTCAGGTGAAGAAACATAAGCAGACAAATAATAAGCCGAAGATTTGTTTGAAACAATATACTTCCCGTACATAAAAAAAAACAGGCCCTGCTCAGATTCAGACCCAGGACCTTTGATGTCCCGGCGTATTAGTTACCTCCATACTAAAATTTGAATTCATTATGAACAACGGTACCAAGTGATTCTGGTGAATAAATTGTTCACCCGAAAAAAGTCCATATTCCGTTTTGATAACTCATGCTAATCGCAAGCTGAAAAAGAACTTAGTTATAGTTATTTTAGAAAATTGAACTGCGACCAAATAGCATAATTAAGGCAAAAGGATGCTCTCTTTTTCAAGCTCCTTTGAAAATATTACTAAGTTTTCTCTCGAAGCAAACGCAGTTTAGGTTTATAAAAACTTGTATCAATTTTTTTAGGGTTTTACCAACCGAATACCTTATACGGACCCTGGTATGACTTTTCTTTCCAAGCTTGTTTCGAAAAGGGGTCTGACTAGATAAGCTGAATAGCTCTTTTGAAGACCATCGATGCTTGTCCTTAATTAATTTTGGAGTAATGATTGTGATACGGACATTTGAAATAGTCTCTTAGCCCCCCTCATCAGTGGCATGCGCATAAATTTTTCAAGGGGGCGATTTTTCAAAAAAATTGTTGACCTTTTTTTAAGTCGAACAATTTGATTTTCCGGGCTCTTCGATAATTCTATAACGATCATATTTTGTCAAAAATGTTCTCCGCCGCACGCGCCAAAAACAGGCTAAAAATGACGTTTTCAGCACTTTCAAAAAATTTTTGACCAAAAATTGCGTTTTTCTGCGCGTGTCCCCCCTTGCTCAAATTTAATTATACTGGCTCCGAAGATGCCTTTAGAATACTGTTGGTCAGCAAAAAATGGTTCTCGCAAAAATATACCAAAGGGGGAGCCTTTGGAAAAATTTGGCGACCACTTTTGAGGCAACAGTATGAGGCAACACTGGCCCTCATTCAACAATATTTTGTGCCAATTTTTCTTCGACAAGCACATAGCCATACTGAGTTATCGTTCTCAACCACCTGGAAAGCAGTTGGAAAAGTTATAACTGGGAAGCCACTCAAATGTATCAAAAGACGTACTAAAAACGATGTAACCAGATCGCAACGAGAAATTTTTTGTTCTTGGATGATTTTCTGTTACAGTCGAAGCTTTCTGATATACATCATTTTCAGTGAAAATGTTTCCGGTCCCAACCTAATATCTAACTCGGAGATATATGAAGATAAAGGAAAAAAACGGTGATATATGGCAAAAACTAACAATGTTTGCAATCAAAGAAAGATCAACAAACAAGAGTAATTTTCAAATCTGTTTTCTTGACACCGAGAAAACATATTGAACTATCTTTTTAGAATCACGACTGATATCTTAAAATGATACTTGACCCCCCCCCCCCCCACCCCTCACAAACTTTCTTTGAGGTACCTGAAACTTCACAATAAAAACAATCCACAATACGCCAAACTCTCCTTCGCTCTTCGCTCTTTCGATCTATCGAGGATGGTCGAAACAAAAAATGGACTATGGACATAAGTATATTTCTAACCAGTGAAGAATGCCCAAAACATGCAGAGGTTGAGGAAGGCTAGAGTAGATGAGAGGAATGCGGGTGCAGTGTACATTGATATGGTGATGTTGACATACTTGAGGGTGAGTCCTGAGTCTCCTATGGGCACGAACAACGTCTGAAGTACTGAAACAATATTATTGTCAAAAAATGTTAAGTGAGGCTTCGTACCGTTGCGATACATCAAAACATCGAATTGGCTAAATAGCCAACAGAAAGTGAAACGAAAACCACAAGTCGAAAAAATGGTTTGACAAAAAGTCGAATGAACTAATTTTCATATGTTTGTCTCCAATTATTCCGAAGAGTTAAATCAGTTAAAATCCGAAAAAGTAACGAAGCCAACAACATCAAACCTGTAAAGCCAAGTAAACCTTATAACGAAATAAAGAGAAAATAATACAAAATCGGGGTCAATAAATTTACAGCCAACAAAATAAAAACATTTTAAAAAACGGTTGAAGGAAAACAAAGCCCAGTTTTACAATGTACCAACCGGTACACTGCAAGTACTAGTTTACATGATTGCTCCATCAGCGAAACCAATTATTGTGATTTTCTATTTAAAGAACTAAAAGAAAACAAACTAGTACTGAACTAACATGGTCCAAAAATAAAGCCAAGTGCTTGGGCAGCTGAAATGTTCGTGAGCACAGCTGTCCGTTCTTCTACTGTAGTCGTCACAGATGCGAAAGAGCGTACAATTGCGATGTTACCAGATCCCACTCCGGTGATAAAGCGTGCAGCTACCATCACGTATGGAGCTGTATTTGAAGGCAAGCCTTCCAAGTATCCATAAACTGCATGGCCAATGCAAATGAGAACGAGACATAGCTGGAATGGCAACCTGAAACACAATCACAATGATTTTCAATTAGCTTCCAGCCTACAGAAGAGCATCAAATTATCTCCTAACTCTTAATAAATAAATACAGAGCAAAAATGAAGAACGGAATTCAATTATCTCTCAATTTAGTCTGGTTAACATGTACTGCACTAAAAAAACAGCTTTGCAACATGTTACTATCGCGCGCTATAAAAAAATCAAACAACTTCTAAATGCTCCTTTTTCCGGTTCCATTCGGTACGAAGGACACTCTTAGATAATTAAGACGGTCATACTTCATACTTCGTATCAATTTCCTTCCACCCTCTCACCTCACATCAGCATAAATTAATGGTGTAATGAGGGTTTTCACAAGGTTAAGCACAAACCGAAAATGTTTGTTACGGCATAATTAATCCGCAAACCAAATTTTACAAGAATAGTAACATAAGAACGAAATATTATTTAGACAAAAGCTGTAAACATTTGTGGGAAGAGAGAAAGAGATATCATATCCAGTGATGTCCGATATAACCATTTGTTTAAACCAATTGGTTTAAAACGAAGGTTTGTTGAACGATTTAACCAACAACCAATTTGTTTAAAAACGGGCCTTTAAAAACTATTATCTTGCTCATACATTAGATTTTCAGGAATGCACTTTACTTGGCCCCGATTTTCTGGAGACTTTCTTATTTGAAGTCAGTTTTAATTAGGCGGATATGATTCGTATCCACCTACATGAAACTGACTTCAAACTGGCAATTCTCCAAAAATCGGGACCAAGTAAAAAAATCATTGAATTCAATGATGCTCAAAAAGTATTGAGCATCATTGAATTCAAATCACAATGAATAATTCTTTCTTGTTCAAAAACTGTACCAACATGTATCCTATTGAGTTTGATGCTATGCCCATCAGAGGAGAGCCAATGAACTGGCCGAGGCTGAAAGAGGCGACAACCAAGCCGTACAATTGGGTGGTAGCTTCTGAGTCGAGTTGCTGCAGATATGGGTAGCCTGATGACATGATGATTGAATAGCCTATAAAACTGATCGTTCAATCAATGCAGCCACACCAAAACCAACTTTTTATGAAACTCCATTCAATTCGAGGTAAGATTAAACTATTAGAACACAGCCAAATAGACAGCTGGAAAAATTTCATTTGAACAAAAAAATAAATCGGAAAAAAAGACGCGTAGTTTTTGCACAATTTTTGATTGACTGAACAAAGCCAAAAAAATTCAATTTTGGGTTAAAATTAAGGCCCAAATTTATCAAAATAAACTGCACCATATTAATTCTGCGAAAATTAATTCTCCAAAAACAAAACAAGTTGTCTAACGATCATTTTTCGTCTATGTCGAGCCAATTTAAGAAAAACCGCGTTTTAATTTTCAGGTTTTATTCGTTTTGTCCGGATAATTTAAATCACCACTGTAGTCACGCGCGTTTAGATTGTGCTTTTTTATCTAATAAAAAATTCCGTAACTTTTCTTCAATCCATCAAATGAAAACAGGCGAAGCTACAAAACAACAACTATAATAAATATCACAAGTTTGTCTCTATTTATGTTCAATTTCAGGCAAATACAATTGCAAAACAAAAATACCAGCGGTATATAAGAATTTAGTTTTGGTTGCCGAGCACCCACTACGCCGATAGTACATGGGTACACTATTTGGTCAAAAAAAATCATCCAGAAAATTATCATAAAAATTTTGAGCAATAACAATTTTTGTGCCCTTCAAACGACACTACATAATATGAAGTGACTAAGCCGATATAACCAAAGCCGAAACCATACAAAACCTGAGTTTGGCAATTGACAAGAAATAGAACGACTTTGAATAGAAAAAAATTGTTACCACAGAGGCAAAGCGAAGCTTCGCAACTTTTAAAAGACAACAAAAAATAAAGCATTTCAAAATAGTGAAGAGTGCAAAATTTTTTGTGAAAAAAAACAAGGGGATCAGTATTTTATTAAATTCAAACGATTTCCGACAATTCTGCCATCTTCAGTTATTCATCACAAAAATTCATTGAAACAAAATTAACGAGACTACAGAAAGAAAATTAAAAGAATATGCTGTTGAGTTGAAAATAATATGTGAAAAAGTCGAAAAAATTCAAATACAAAAATTTCATGTTTGTATCGGATAATATTTCTAAACAGCCTTACAAAGCATTGTAAAACAAGTGCCCAGTGGCAACTAAAACAACAAAACTTGGGTCAACCTCTGTTGAACCGAAAACAAAACTGCTCTCATGAAAAAAAATTGAGCTCGAAAATTTCAAACATTTTTACGACTCATCCGTACTTGAACAGATTAAAACATAACAATATATTTTCCCACAAAATAACGCAATATGAGTTGACCAAGCCGATATAATATAATCCGAAGCCATTTAATAAAAAAAAACGAAAAACCAAAAAAAAACCATAGAACTTTCAACTACGGTAAAAACCTGTTTGGATCAATATGAAAACTACGCTTTCGAAAGTGAGCCCATAAAAAACGTACCAGATAATTTACTTGGCGTTTCATTAAAAAATGAAAAAGATCCAACGGGAACTAGAAGCAAAACCACGAATCCAAAAAAATGGAATACTTTTTCACAAATTTTATTGAAAAGCACAATCAGTGCCTGAATTTAGCTGCACCTAATTACTATTTAACCTTAACTATGGTAGTTCCAATTAAATTTTCAAGAAATTGTCTGCATGTTAAAAGAGGTGAAAATTACCATTCCTTACAAAATTGACCATTCTGTGAACTAAGTTTTTCACTGGGGAGAAAAGTCATTTACCCGGTTGCACTAATCTTGCTGGTCACAAAGGTAAAAAAAGAAGAAAATTCGATAGATTGACATTTCACCAACATAAACTAAGCAGCTAAATACAACTCCACCAAACAGTTTCCCCGAAAAATTTTCTAATTTTCGAAAAAGGTACTCAGGTTATCACTAGATCAAGCGAGAAGGCCCTTGTAAATTTTTGGGTTCCATAATAAAAAAAAACACAATTTGCAACAATTAGTGAGAAAAATTTTATACGGGAAAAATGTCGTTCCCGGTTACAACTCACAATTAAGTCAAAAAATTTGACACAAAGGCGAAGCTCCGCTTCGTAAACACTAGTAAGAAATCGACAAAAGCAGCTCTATAAAATGAAATAAGAAAATATAGAATAAGCCTCGAATTTAAAGAAAACTTTTGCTACCCGGTGGATTCGAACCAGCGACCTCGAGAAAAAGAGTTTAACATCCTACCCTGTAGGCCATGGCCACGGACACCTAACGTTCGACAAGCACTAGCCACAAATAAAGCAGAGAACAGAAATATGAAATCTCCAACGCTACAGATCGTGATTATATTAAAAGTGACACCAAATGAGCACTTTTATTTGCTACTTAGGATCGGAAAGAAGTAGGTTCATACTGGTACACTACGCTCGTTATTGCACAATAGTGTAAAAAACAACGACAACTTCTAAGCACAGAGGCGGATGAAATCATACATTTTTAATATTTGTCAACCTCACACAGGCCCTATTTATACAATGCACCTAGGGCATCTAACATCTGCAAAAAAAAACTGGAGAAAAGCAATAATATAAACTAAGAAACGTTTAACTCACATCACGTTATCAAATATACAGTCCGAGGAGACAATTCGAAAAAGAGTATTGAACGAAATCATCAGGGTTCGTCAGACGAAAAATAGCAGATAAAAGAAGGATAGCCTGTTACTGTGCAAGTAGCACAGAATGTTCCGACCACCTTCTTAAAAAAACACAATTTTTTTTTTCAAATTGGTGTTGTGATTAAAAGATCTAAACGAAAAAATCGAAATTTTAGGCCTATTTGAGAGGCATAGTAAAATAGATCAATTGAAAAAAAAAGTTTTAAATAAAAATGACTAGAAATACGAAACAAAAAACTTTTAAAATTTTGGAAAAAAAATCATGAATTTTCGAGTTTTTGATTCCCTAAATTGCGCTGAAAAAACTCTAAGAACTACAATTACTTGAGGAGAACTAAAATTTCACGGCTTCAATTAGGCTTAAATAAGCTAGTGTAAGCATACACGGTCACCTTATTAGCTCAAAAATAGACGAAAAATCAAAAACTTCAAACCGGGTTTTCTCGACAATATGATATATCACTCGACCCATTCAGATAATTATTTGTGTAACCTGATTTTACGTGGAAAACAAAGAAAAAAACTGAAACACCCGAATACAAAGTTCCTCCACATTTTCAATGGTCGGAACAACAAAGTTTTCAAAATGGAATGCCAGCCATTACAAAGTCTTTTGGGCATATTTTACAAAGAAGCGAAGCTGCACTTCGCAAACACACGCGAAAAAGCGATATAAAGAAGCTATAAAAATTGAAATAAGAAAAGGTAGGAATAAGCCTCGAATTAATAAAATTTATCTAATTTCTTCAAGCAGTCATTTGAACTTCTAACGGCTATAAGCCAGTTGCAATAAGTGTTTCTTGCGATACAAGACAAACATAAAAAACAAGTCGAAAAAAACTGGAAACCAAAAGTTTCGTATGTCTCAATAAAATATAATAAAGACCAGCTGAAGCTGACGGTACGTGTTTGACACTGTTTAAATTTGTTTAAATGATGCGGCATGAAATGGGTTATTTTAAAAATAGGACTTTGCCCGAAACCTTAGTTGTTTCTCTACTAAAATAAGGGAGAAGAGCAAAAACGTTGTGAGATAATGGAATTTTCCCAAGGACGTAACACTTACACTACAAAAAATTTAGTAGTCGCCGGGTCGGCAGAAAAATTGTCGCAACCAATTCTTTCGGTTGAAACCTTCATCTAAGATTTGATAGCGTAGAAAAGTCAAAAAGTGTTGTCAAAAAGATTCTACAAAATGGTGAGACGTTCAAATATTTTACTATCGATATCCGCAACTACTTTTGTGCTTAACAACTCGCAGCTACCCACTTTCTCGAATCACCACATAGACTGAGATTCGACTGAGTAGTTTTGGTGAAAGTCAAAAAGTTTCCACAAAACAGTTAACATTTCAAAACTTGTTGGAAAGCATTTACTTTGTTCTATTTATAAAGGAAGGCTTTCTAAGCGCATCTATTTATAAAGGTTGGCTTTCAACAATCTGTTAATTCAATTCAACCCTTGATGCCATAAATCTGACTTCAAGGGCCACTAAGAGGACTCCGCAAAGACATAAAATTTGACTTTTCAAATCCTTTTCTGTTATATAAAAACTTCAGCGTAGCTGTTTATGCAGAAGAGATTCATAATGCCTGTATTTTCGTTTGAACCCAAAAATTCAGATTTGTGGAAACAATTTTTGAGAAAAATCGAATAGTTTCAAAAAATGATAAAAGAAAACAAAAAAGAGACTTTTCCGAGAGTCATAGCTTTTTGTAATAGTTTCGTTATGCACCCAAAAACTCAGATTTGGAATAGTAATTCTCGAAAAAGTCAAAAAGTTCAAAAAAACGGTCAAAAAATCAAACTTTTCCGAGGACCATAAGTTTTCGTGTCAAAAAAGTATGAGCATTGCCGCATTTGCAAAGGAGCTTCCCACAATCCGTTTTTTGGATTGAAACCAAAAATCAAGATTTAGGAGCGTAGGTAGATTCAGAAAATTCAAAAATTAAAAAAAAGTCGAAATAAAAAAATTGAATTTTGCGGGACGATAACTTTGTTAAGAAAGTTTATGAAAAGCCGCTCATACAGGGGAGCTGAGCTTCAAACTACCTGTTATCTCCATTGAACCCAATCTCAGATTTGGTAGGGTTCTTTTTGAGAAAACGAGAAAAAAAGTATGTGTCCAAAATTCCCCTACTGAGTTTTCGAAGGCTGTAGACAGAGGGGTAACGAAAAAGAGACTAGGGGACTATGCAGGCATAAAAGGGAGTAGGAGGCCTTTCCATTGATGTCCCTTTTTGAAAATCGACAAAAGGTTTTGAAAAAAAAAGTTTACAAAAAAACCCAATCCCATATTTTTCATAGTCAAAGTTTTCATCAAATTAAAAATCTAAGGAACATGTCGAATTTTAAATTAGCAACGAAAACAGCAAAATATACGAAAGGAAGGCTAGTAAAAATAAAAATTGCATAAGTAATTCAAAACACTAAAAGCAACTGCATCGAGAACTGCGTACAAAAAAATCAATTTTACCATATGGTATCTAAGCCGACAAAGCATAAGCAGACAAACTACAGGTCGACTTTTTAAAAATATATATATTTACAATTAGAAAAAACCGTTATTGGTCAGATTCGAAGCTACGACTTTTGCCATCCCCGGCGTATTCTCTATCTCCAGGCTAAATGCCGGAAACGCAAAGACGTTTGAATTCATTATGAACCAAGATACAAGTGATTCTGGTAAACAAGTTGATAACCCGAAAAAAGTCTATATTCCAGTTTGATAACGCTTGCTGATCGCAAGCGTAGAAGTTGGTTAGACGAAAAAGTCTAGTATTTGACTACACCTGCTAATCGCATGCATAACTCATTGGAAAGTTTACTGATAACATTCTTTTTAGTATTGGCTTTGAGTAAAATATGTCCACAAACTCATTTACTGATAACTTCATAGTATTTTAAAACGAAATCAAATCTTAGTCTGCTTACATGATCACAAAAATTATGCATCATATTATCATTGTAAACTTTAATCAACCTAACCAGTAGCACCAATAAATGATGTGAGATACAATGTCCACATGGAAAGCATTCTTCGACGCGAGCTCCCGGCAATGGAGCTGTGTATCGCGTCTTCTCCAGGAATCATGGCATCTAGAACAAAAAACTGCTACTATTTTAGCATTAAACAACAGCTTATGCCAAGTAGTTGAAAAAATCCTTTTCGGTCAAGGAATCTATACGAAGTTACTTGACTAGTATTTAAAGAAGATCGAACAGTGGCAACCTATGGAAAAACTTCATGGGGATATTTCAAAATTCTTTAATGGAATCTCGTAAGATAGTGATATTATCATTAAGTGCGTAAATTATCAGTAAATGCTAAAATAGTAGCAGTTTTTTGTGCTAGATTGTAACATTCGCCCAAAAACTACACAGCGACGGAGCGTAGAAAAAGTACCTATTAACGACTGGCAGGCGTCAGTTACCTTAATCCTACTCGTTTTTCACCGTCTCGACCTTGCCAGTTGATTTTCTGGTCTGTTTAGGGCAAAGTAAAAAGTTACCATTTTTAGGCCATCAGTCAAACGACTTTTGATCAGCTTTCGTTTACATGCGAACACAACCACATAGCTGAGTCTCGGATCCTCAGACTACAAGATTGTCATTAAAAACACGGCTCAAACAACCTATTTTAATATGTTTTTGTGTGACAGTTCTATATTAAATCCATTGGAGATGGATTGACCCTTTCCTGTTTCTAGCTACTCATGTTCTGAAATATTAAACAATAACGGTGTTAATTAAGATCTATGACATTATAGCAGCTATACAGTCAGTCTATACAGTCCCTTCACATAAACAGTCTCTGGGGGACCAAGCCTCCGCTCCCGTAATATTCTTGAGATAACACTCTTATCTCTTATATTTCGTGTCCCGGGAGGGTCCCGTGGTATATTTCTTCCCCCACTGAAGCCTCCTTCTCCACAAATTTCCGTCGCTAAGGTTCTTATCGTGTGTTATTGCCACGATAAGAGGCTTCGTATTTTTTCGTCTCTGATACGACTGTTCTTCACTATTTCTGTCGTTGTTCTTACTTTCGTCACTTTTTCCGTCAAAATGGCCGTCTTTTTCTATTTCTCAGAAATGTTCACTCTTCAATCGAAATTTTAAAAATAAAAATTCTAGAACATTCTGACCCTCCTTCGCAACACTTTTTCGTTCATAAGGCCTTTAGTTGTTCTTTTTTACGTCGCCGGAAGGTTGTGCTGTGTCATCTGGCAGAATGGCACATACTCCCCGGACAAGTCTCCATCAATGTCCCTATTGATCGCATAACACCGGGTTATCGTCAAGTAGTTATCCAGTTTTCTGTAATCAATCTTACAAGTCGCATAAGAAAATGAAATTTATCTACCCCACTTCAACTCACTACGTGTTCACAAATAGCATTGTACTTCATCTCACTGCACCATGAGGAGTGTCTTAGATAAAATTTCTTTTCTGACTACTTACGTCGTCTTGCCATAAAACTTCTTTTCGCTCTTTGTGATTAAAAAGTGGGACGTGGCACGGCCACGCACCCGTTAAAATTAATTTAACATTACTCACCAAGTATAATTAGTTATTTATGCGGTCCTTTCAATATTATAACTAAGAAACTCTGTGGCTAGGAAAGTTATTGAGTTACCCACCCTTCCCGAGCGAGTTTACTCAAACTTACCATGTCGCCACACAGTGAATTTGTGTCTTACACAGGTTAAAAACTTCAGTCGTGAATAAATAGGTAAATATACTCACCTAGATTCCTCATATACATACTTAAATAGCCATAACTAAAATCAAGAAATTCAACAATTTTAACAATTGCAACAATTTTCAAAGTTTGGTCTGACCAAACTAGATCAAAACAAAAAGTTTAACAAGTTCAATAATCAAAACTTGGTTGATTGGTTTAAGTTTTAGCACACAAATACAATCAAGTTTTCTCTCCTTCTCTCATCTTCTTTGGTCATCTTCATTCCATCACTTCTCCATCCTGATCTTCGCTGTCTTCCAACACTTTCTCCAGCATGTCCATGGAGTTGCGGGCCGTGCCCCAACTCTCCTGTTCCAACAGCCTCGGTTTGCAGCAAGGTAGCAAGTCCACATTCACCTTCTGCTCCCGGTTCCTGCAAAAGCTGTTGTGAAGACATAGGCTCACGTTTCGTTCTAGGTCAGCTCTTAAGACCTCTTTCTTCTCATCTTCAGTAACACAAGGCGCTCCAGCTACCCGCTTCACCGCTGTGGTGACCGCGTTTCTGTGCGTCAAAAATGCTCTCTTATAGGCTCCTGGTCCTATATCTAGCTGAAAAGATTGATAGGCTTCCGTGTTCCTTGACATGTGACGCTTCGCGCGTTCATACATCCATGAGGTCATCACTGCACGGAACCAAGGCATCAATCTTTGCCTTGACCATATTCTTTCAATGGCTTTAGGTATCCTCAGAACCTTGCAGGTGGTTCTGAAAAGATCCAATTCACGACTCATTTTTACGTTGCTCAGCTGTTCAGGAGTCGGCACGGCCGTCTCCTGCTGACTTGTGTCCGCGTTAGCCTCCAGCCATCTCACTGCTAGCATGGCGCTAACCACCACGATTGAAACTTGTTGATTCTGATCGGGCAACCCCGTAGAGTACAACTCCTCCACGTCCCATACTAGCATCAGACTCCCGCGTTTGGGGTACCACAACGTCTGCACCAAGCAGTGGCAAGGATACTCCCCATGGGTCCTCACTATGTTCCTTCGGGTCCGATACCCTGAGGCTCCCAGCAACGGTTCCACCTCCATCAGAATTCTGTGTAAGTCGTCTTTTTCTTCTATTGTGGGGAATTCAGTGGGTAAGGCTCCACTCGCTTTCTGTTTCTGGAACTCACTCACATTGCCTTCGTTCAGTCTCATGAACTCTTCAGCCTTGCAACTCGCTTTCGGATCTCTTCGGGACTGCCCGAAAGATCTTTGCCAACAAGTCATATGACCTTTCCGACATTCTGGCCAACCTCACGCACTTTGGCACAGAGAAAAGTTGGTCAACCAACACTTGTTGCGTCCTCGCATCCATTACCACCATGTGCGTAGGATACTTGCTATTACAGTATGGCGCGGAGCTTGAACCCACCATATATTTTGAACCAGTAGTTCTGTGATAGGCTTCACTATCCTTCAGATTCATTTCATTTTCTAGAGCTTCTCGCCAGCCCCCAATCTTCTGCTCTGTCTGTAACGCTCCAGGGAATACCTCCACGCTGAGGGACGTCACTAGCTCATGGGCACGTTCTAGGCGCTCAAGCGATTCTATCGAACTCGTCATGCTACAAAATCCCAGGGCTGTGATCAAGTTTACGTCTGTCACCCCATGGCAGTCTGCGACCAACTCCATGGCACTCTTATCTGACATGCTCAATCTTCCGTACAATCGTGCCAGTTGTCGATGCTGCTCGCTCAGCGTAATCAGGCAGTGTCCCAAGTTGCAAACATGCCCTTCCATCCTACTTTGTTGAGCCAAGCATGTGCCTTGCTTCAACCAATCGCTCGATGGACTTTCCTCAGGCAGCTCCTTGGATGGATTGCTCTTCCGCTTCGTCGACTTCATGGCCAGCAGATGGTGTATCATGGCCAGATCATGTAAACTCGCGTCATCATCTAGGTCTAACGTGATATCCGCCGTCATGTCCCAGATTAAACCGGCATTAGGATGAGGGCACCAAGAAGGCTTCATGAGTTCCCACATCGTCACTAGACTGGTTTTCAAGGGACCGTCCCAAGAACCACAATCAAAACTCACTTGCCCCTTTAGCTCGGGAACCGAGGGTTCGACCACTCGTTCTTCCAAAATAATTCCCAGCTTGGGTTGTTCCACCATCAGCATCCCAGTTTCTTTAATACGTTCGACCCAGAAATTGAGTACTATGACTTGCTCATAGTCGAAGTACGCTTCCCTGGCTTCTTCATTCACGAAGGGATTATACGCCATCCCCGGTATGCCAGACACATATCGGAACGACTTCAGTTTCCCTAGTGTTGCAAACTCTTTTTGTCCTCTGACCGCTTCAATCAACTCTCGGCTCACTTTCAATTCTTTGTTGGCATATCTTCTCACCTCTTCCAACTTGCGATAGCTTTCCATATCACTCGACTCCTTGCTTGGCACAGTCAATGGCATGTCCTGATATAATTCCAGGAGTGCCCTAAGGAAGTTCCTTTCACAATCAACTCCCTTTTGCCGAATGATCTTTATGCATTCTCCCAAAACAGGAGTGGGGATACGATTCACCACGAACCTGACAAAGCAAAGGGCATCCTTACGCTTAGCCCATGCTATCGCAGAATCGTCTTTCGAAATCAACGCTCGCAGATCTTCCATCAACTCCAGTTCCTGTTCCCGTGATTTCGAATCATTACTGGCTTCATACTCCGCTCTCTTGATGCCCATCAAGCACCAAGCCAACCGTACTTGCAGATCAGTTCTCACGCAAGGATGAGGCAGGTATGCCGCCACCGTAGCAGGTGCATGCATCGCCTCGTCGAAGTATCTCTGGAGGGCCGCCCTCCAGGAGATTTCTAGCAATTTTTCCAATCCGACTTCGTTCGCTTCAGAGGACATTACCGTTCCGTATTCTTTTCGATTCAAGTTCGAATTCTCCGTGAGCTCTTTCAGATATTCCTGCATGACTCGCTTCTCGCTCCAAGCCATCAGGTGCCCTCTCGCGGAGTTCCTCGCTTTCAACATCTCCACATAACCCCCTGCCGGATCTCCCATGTGGACCGATTCCGGCACAGTTATTCGACTGTACTCGACCACGTCGAGTTGTCCTTCCAGTTTCAACTTGGCCATGTTGATTCGCGAGGGCCTATAATCTTCAAGTCCTCCAGATCCACATTGACTGAGGATTTCCATTTCTAACTTAGTGTCTGCCAGGGTTCGCGCCATCTTCTTCGATCTCGTGGCGGTTATGGTCAGACCTGCCAAGAGCATAGGGGGTATCAGGTTTTCTTTTTCTCCCCCGGCTGGTGTCGCACCATCTCCTTGCCCGCTCTCGCCTGACCGACCCGTACTAATCAGAGAGGTCACCACGGTCTTGGCTTTTGACTTCACCACCCTCTGGTTCAC